TTTTTTGCCGATAATCTCATTCTGCAAAGAATTGGAATGAGCATATTGGTGATGAAGAACGACACATCCTGCTTGAATAACTTCCATTTTCCCACAAACCCATGAGAATTTGCAATGAAACTAACTCTATCTTCTGGGGTTGAATGATCTTCCACATTTTATCATGTTTAAACTCACACCTTCAAATCCATTTACACTCAAACAAGCCAGTCTTTCCCTCCAATCAGAGTGACTTGGATAGTTATTACGTCACGCGATCCTTTCACCTACTGCTTTCGATGTGCTCCTCTTACTGGACAACAAAACCGCAAATCCAGTTCAAATGTAAGTCAAGTTGGATCAAGTTGATCAATTTTTATTCACCGCGGTCAGTGACAGTACAAGTGATAACAGATAACTGGAAATTGCTTAACTTGAATAAATAGTATAAGCTATAACACTGATTGAGTTTGATTAATTGATCTCAAATGAACAAAATATAAACTGATGGAAAAGTTCTCGGTGCACTATGTTATCGCATAAATTCAGCTCATATACTCTTACACTTCAACTGCTCCATGCCAACACACAAGGACAGAACCAGTGGATGAAATAAATATGCTTGTGGCCCATCGGTAAAAAAGATATACTTCAACGAATCGTGGGTTTGAGGTTACGTATTCCACGCATTTCCTAATCCCGCCCTTTGAAGTTTTTGGCCAATACAAACTGTATTCTCTTGGACGGTTTCAGTTTTTGAAAGAAAAGACCATATTGAAATACTGCACAATTTATGTTCCGTACGACTTCACCACATCTCAGCATGGTGCATACTACAGAAAATGCTATGTTTATATAAGATTTAGCGTGTCAATAAAGTAATGCAAAATAAATTGAAACAGACAAAAGCTAAAAAATGGGAGCGGTAAAAGGATTATGTCGACAGGGTACGGACAGACTATCATAAAGTGCTTTTATGTTGACAAAAAGAGGCCTCAATTGAATAATAGCAATCACTTCAGCGAACCTTTGTAACCTTGCGAGTGGTAACTTGTAGACAACCTGAAATGCTGTTTTTTCGGTCGATCTGGTGTTGCATAATCATCACCTGTCGAGCAATGACTGAGGGAAGGGTATTGTAGTTTGGACCGTCGTTTCTATGCAGCGGACTTGATCGTTTTTCAAATCGACACTTATTAGCTAACTGCCAATGAAAACGCCCCTGCGGAAGGGATGGGACAGTGTTCGTTCTGGGAGAAATCTTTGTGAAGACAGGTGTATCTGTAAAAATTAATTCGCGAAGCTACGACTGCTTGTTAACTGAAGTGGAGAGCCGAAAAAGCGTCAAATATTTTGTCCAATGAAGTATATTATCGGTCTCAAGGACCAAAAACGACGCGTGTCGTTATTCAATTCCAATTTTAAATAAATGTTATCCGATTGAAATAATTCGTTAGCCGTGAGATATTTGAACAAGGCCGGATAATCGAAGATACAGATGTAAACAAGAATTCTAATGACCATTNNNGTATGTCTTCCAACCGGGCAAACGAATACACGACAAATGAAATCACACAGATCTGACTATCCTCTAAGAGTGACAACAAGCGCATTGAATCACCCAGCACTTTACGAAATCGGTCCCCTAAACCGGTTCAAGACCATCGAGAATGTTACGTGAACAAATAGATAACTTATCTCAACACATAAAGAATGTTTATAATACTTTGTTCCAGACTTGTCGATAACTCACTGCTCATTGTTTCTTGGTGTTCCACTGGATACAACAAGCCGCTGTTTTTTGTAAGATATTTCATCACTAAGAAAAACCTACACCTCGTTCATAAACCTATGTCACTCGGGACTGGGTATTCTGTGGATTCATTTTATTTTACTTTAGGTGATATGGGAAAATCCACCTGAGTCAGAAACCATCCTACTCCGGTTTTCACATTTGTATTCATTAATTATATGTACACAAAATACCAGACAATGTTTCTCAGAATACCTCGCTCAAATTAGTATCTCTACTCAGTTTACTTCAATCCCCAGTTGGCATTGCATCTTTCCATTCGGTGTGTGTGGTAATTCCGTGCAGCCGGGCTACCTGAAAAAGCGATATTAGGAGAAATGTGTTATGACAGCTCAATCCGTCATTACGCGATTGTATCATGCATTCACTGCATCAGTCCTTGATCTGTCCATCACTACGCTGTATTACAATTCGGAAAGCACAGTCGCCCAGTCCCGATTACATCGTTCATTATCGGGGCTTCAGATACATCCAGGGGAACACGTGTATAGTTCTCAACTGTTCTGGCATTGATGATGGACAGCTACTTAGTTGACGACTGATTCACGTGGAAATGCAGTCCGGAACATTTTATTCATTGAACTACAAAGCTTTCTCAATTCACTCAGAGGAGGAAACTGTTTTGAGTTAGCAAAACTAAATAAAAGGTACTTCTGTGAAGAACATATATATTATAATAGTAGTTCATCATTTGAAACAGTTTAATTGTGTTAGTTCCTCGAGGGTTCGCGTCAATACGTCAGTCCGTCTACAAAGGTTAAATGTCCACCTAATTTATATGCTGTGGTGACGTGTGAGGCATAAATTTGCAGATATCTTTATATCACTTTTAGTGGGTTCCACTCAAAGTAACTAATCTCAACAAATATTAGTCCCGAACATCAAGAATGCTATCAATTGTTCACCACAGAACAGTCGTTTCCCTATGTCCATTTTGTTGCGAGAACTTGAGAGTTAACCAAAATTACCACTGGAGTACCTCTCCAAAGTTTCATTTCTCCTAGACTCCAAAACCATCGACCATTCATCCATTGCAGGTGAATTGTATCAGATGGAACAGTTTTACTTTCCAATAATAATTTACCCTATAAACTGCGCAAGAGGGGAATGTCTTTGTCCTCCTCCATCTTTTCGCCAAATTGCAATGTTCATTCTTTTGAATGCAGCATGAATAAAATGGTTTCAGCCTGAATGGTTGTTGTACGCTTCCCACATCGAGTTTACACTTCGACCGCGGGACTAACCTCTTTCACTGTATTGCAATAAAAATACAATAACATATCTCAATTTCAAAGTTTCATTCTTTGAACTTCATTGATATAGATATATTCTTGAAAGCACAATGTTACTTTAATGCGTAGCGGTTGCATATTACGACAATTTGACCAGCGATATTAACTGAAATGGGAAGGGGTACGTTATTTAGTACCAAACTCAGTTTGAACATACACGCCTCAAATTTTCTGGGGAGAGCAACACTGTCGAAATGTGTTTACCATCAAAAGTGAGAAGAACCCGGAGTGCTGAAATGCACTGGTTGAAACAATCGATATTACATGGCGGTTTTTACATTGCGGTCATCCGCGTACCAGTTATTCACATACTACTAATCTGCGCATCTCCGTGGTACATCAGCTATAATTTATTTACAGGTATTGACCAAATCAACATCCTGATTTTCATCACATTTGTTTCTCTCAATGTTTCGTTTTTCCAGCCTCGTTCACGGGATTGACCATGACATTGCTTCACCTCAAAGGCAACATTTCTGATATAATACCCACTTATGGCTTTGCTTCTATTAGCCACATGCTATTAAAATGTACTATTTCGCGATTTTGATGATAGTACCTGATGTATCAGTTGTAAAATAACAAAGTCACACTAGAAAGCTTAACTGGAATTTATTTATTAAAATGACTCATAAACTTCATACAGGTATTGTTCTTTCATCTCGCCCATGTTCCATTTGCCCTTCTCTATTTTTGAACACCACAGGTAGTCGCTTCAGCATGAAGTCTACCAACTTTACTGCCAAAAAGAATTTGCCAGTTTGCCACTGTCGACCAATTTATAGGCAGTTAACTTATCCCGGTTTCTGATACGGGTGGAATTTGTCGACTAAATTAAAATCCCATGTGCTCCGCGGTAATTGCACGAATTGGACAATAACCTTGATCCCACCAGAGATTGCATAAATGTGAAAACCTAATATCGAATTAGGTCTAACGGTTTCATACTACCAATCTCAAGTGAGGTAATGTATCAACCTCCATTTGTGAAAATTAGACTTCCCCAAATGCATTTGAAGAGTTGCAGTTAACGGAATTATCCCCAATCACTGCAAAACATCTTGCGGTATCCTGATTGATGTGTGCAGGAGACTAGCAACAAGACACAGCATTTACTTCCTACCTAGCTCGTCAGGCGGGATGAATATTTACTTCTTTTGACATGTAAAATGAAATTTAGCATTTAGTATTATTATTATTACTATCACTATTTATTTATTAAATCAGCTTTCACCGCATGCTGAATTGCTCGTTTGGCACCAGTGAGGTGAACCCATAGCCAAATGGACGGCCGAAGCGATTTGAATTTGTTGGTAAAATCAACGCGTTCTCTGCTTTCTTGAGCGTTCCATAACGGCTTTATATCACGTGGCCTCAGTTGCAATTTAAACTGAGCCATCATTTTCCAAACGAAAGCGCGAGGAAAAACCCGCTGACCAGCCTAGACTACCCTTTATATTGGTTTTGTGCAACTCTTGTCTGCTGCGATCAAATACAACCATCGTGTTGCTTTGACGTGATCAGTTTTCTCCCTCTCGGTTTATATGAAATGGTCTCCATATACCATCGGAGAGGTGGCCCTGAAGCTGCGTCGACTCCACCAGTCACCTGGACCTGATGGTTTGCTTCCGTTGATCCCGAAGCAGCTGGCAGAGGATTTTGCAGCGCCACTGTGCAACCTGTCCAATTTTCCATTCATTCAACGGCGTTTACCGCGGCAGTGGAAGGACGCTGTCATCGTTCCACTGCCCAAAGTTGGGGATAGGAGTGACCCTGGGAACTATCGATCAGTCAGCCTCACTAGCGTTGTGGGTGAAGTAATGGAGCGACTGGTGGCCGCACGGTCACCTGAGCCACCAACAACACGGTTTCCGGCCGGGTCGCTCATGCCTCTCACATCTGCTACTTGCACGTGAATGCTGGACCGAGAACAAGGCCAAAGGACACGAAACGGACATCATCTTCGTGGACTTCAGCAAGGCCATCGACAAGGTGCCGCAGGATTTCCTTCTGCGAAACCTGTCCAACCTAGGTGTAGGTGTGATCATGCGGAATTGGCTGCGAAACGTCCTCGTCGATCGGAAATTCTGCGTCCGTGTTTGCAATTTGCTCTCTGTGTGGTATTCCGCTCCCAGTGGGGTCCCTCAAGGCTCGGTTCTTGGTCTATTGCTCTTTGTGGTATATGTGAACGACCTGCCTGGTCAACTGTGCAGCCCATCCCTCATGTATGTGGATGACATCAAAATCTGGCGTACAATCAAGGATCCGAATGATCGAAGTTCTCTTCAAGCGGATTTGAACAACCTGGCTCAGTAGGCGGACACCTGGGCTTTTCCAGTCAACACAGCAAAGTGTGCTCACCTGCACTTGGGGCGAGCTGACTCAGAGGTAATCTACAACTTCCAGGGAACCACATTGGGCAGTACATCGTGCGAACGAGACCTGGGTATTATGGTTACGTCATCAATAAAGACCCGAGAAATTATCGATCGGGTCTGTGCTAGAGCATGGAGGATTCTGGGTCCTATTCGGCGGTCTTTCAACTAGCTCACGATGGACGCTTTCAGGCTGCTGTACGCTTCTCATGTCAGACCAAGACTTGAGTATGGTGGTGCGGCGACATACCCCTGCACGACCGGTGAACTGGCTAAGTTGGAGCGTGTACAACGTGCTGCCACCAGACTCGTTGTTGGACTACGCGGGACCAGCTATGTATGTCGTCTACAGGCTACTGGTCTGTTCCCAATTGCGTATCGACGCCTCAGGGGAGATATCATCTGCCTGAGGAAGATCCTGAATGTGATATGGGCCCGGAGCTGTAACAGTACCTCCCTTTACGGACAGAGCAGTATTGTGGGTGATGCGTGATTATTTTGTGGCCAAATAATTTTTTCAATTTAATCAAGCTAGAATATCTTCATTAATTGGCTTATTTCCCGTGCACTGAATGAAAAGAGATAAACAATTTAGAATACGTTTGCTCAACCCAATAAAAGATCTCATGAAGCATTAATAATCTATTTTTAAAAATGAGTTCCCATGTTCCTTTGAGTAAAATATTTTTAAAATTTCAGCCATAACATTTCAACTACTACAAGTTTTATCGCAACACTCACGCAAATTCAGACGGGGATAGCAGAAAACTAAAACCGTAGATGTGGGAGTTAGAATCAGAAACGAATACAGTCTACCCATAGCCATCAATATGAAAGTATGGCTTTAGAGACTAAAATTCACTTCCAAAATGACAGTGATGTTGCACGAGTTTGACCATATTGATGGTCACATCTTGTGTCTTCACCCACAAACGCACCTTCTTATATTAGCACATTAAATCTGATTAGGTATCACTGTTATTCAGCTGTGAACAGGTAAAATGTCTGGGTGTTTCGTTTATGTTTATTTGTGAATAACCTACTCAAATCCCGCGTTTGACTTTGAACATTTCCTCATTTCTCCATTCTAGTGTGGTGTCTGTTTTTAATTCGCCTTCTCGAAGTAATAATATTCAAAAATCAACACCACATATATGGAAATATTGCACAAAACTTCTGACTGATTATGATTCTTTTCTTGGAAATAATCATTTCAGTCATTAAATATGATTGATTGAAATCGAGTGAAACTTCGATTCCAATTCCAATTGGTTTAATGGGGATCATTCCGTCAAGGCTAAGATATCATCTTTTCTAACGCTGTGTTTCATCAGTTACCTTCCTAACGGTCACTTTAGTGACACCATCAAGGAAAGAATGCAAACCGTCTCTTATTTCGATTACCAACAGAGATTACATTACGCTCTTTCATTCAGATAATTATTTGTTCGTTCTACCTAGATTCATATTACACCACATACTGGTAATTATGCTTCAGACACAACTCCTATCAGAGGTGTCGATGTTTTAGAATTTTATTGGTAAATGACGTGTCATCTTTCATCTTCATCAAATATATATCTTGTACGAAAACCTTATTGCACTGTTCCCGCTCCCACATGCATATTCACCGCCATTATTGGAAAGACGAACTAAAAAATTGTGTGAAATTGTCTTTCATTCTAAACAAAACGTTGAGAAACCACTTCAGTACTCTGTATGGGATTTCGAGTCAGTTCCCTAGCGCGATCATTCCACTCCCCAAACCCAAATGCCTATAACTTGAGTATTGATGCTCCATTCGACTAACTTCTCAAAAAAAGAGGTGATCGTGAATATGGGAGTAGAGACAATACAAAAATCTAAAGTGTGTGTGGGGGGGGGGGCCGGACTTTTGTAAACGGGTTTATGTGTAATTTATTTATGAACGGATTATTTGCATTCGCTTCTGCGTCCCCAGTTCGCGGATAGGGTGGTGTCCAACAATCTGTTGATTACAATTAAGTTGGTTTAGCTCAGGCTTACTAAGTAGTCCGTCGTGGAGGACCAACGGCGATGTTCGAGGATGCGGTGGATTTTGACTTCTACAGCACTCGACACTAGCATAAGCCGCATAAGTGAGTAGACTGCACTATGACGTGGTGACCAAGGACATCCATTAAATTAAGTCACTGATCTTGTCGTACTCCATCTACTCAACCTGGTTTTCCGACAGAAGCGAATGAACTGCACAGCAGTCACCCAGAACATCCGGAATAATACTGCTGCGTTGCAGGTTACAATTGGATGTGCATCGGGTGGAGTTGTGGGTTCGAGCACAAGGCCGGATATGGTGCCTCCTATTCCGAACAGGGTGAATGAGTATCGTAATAACCCCTGAAACGTGGGGCCTACTTACTCTGCTTCAGAAAATAGACAATGCAAAGCTTAAGCTCTTACCCGTAACTCAAAATTAATACGGTGAAATTAGCGCTTTACATGACTTAATGCCATAGGTTCTCGTTCAACCAGTTAAATCACCATCTAGGTTTGAATCTTTTCTAGTACTTTACCGCAAACGGGAGAGAAAGTACAAATAAAATCAACGAGATGGGGGTCCTGACAAAATAAGTACCTAGTTGCGACCATTTGTATCTGTCATCACTATAACCTTGTCCGAGGAATTGTACTTAAATCCAAAAATGACATTCTATTTGTTCAGTTTGAATGCACTTTTAGCATCCATGAATGGGGGCAATTTCATTCCCACATTTGTTTTCCACCTCTCATTCATTTTAATAATTCGCACAAGTATCCCGTAGATCACAGTGTTTCTCAAAAAGGTATCGGTGGTTGCCATGATTACGGATCAGCATGCGGTGAACACCCGGATCTATTTGTGACTGAGTAACATGAATATGAATGCTTGAGTTAGATCAGCATCTCAGCTTGTTATGAAGACTTAGACCACAATCAAGCAAGTCGGGTTGACGGACAACGTCAAGCATATCACTGTGGCTTGTAGCACCTGTGAAGGAAACTGAAAACCTGGTGAACTCTAATTCGAATTGGGGAATATTGATCACAATGTTCATTCTCCTACTGGGTTTGAAAATCTGGACATTTGCACTGGACGCCGAAACCCGTACGGGAAAAGCTACTTGCACGATAGCCAACACGTTGACCAGATCAATACTTTAGGAAACTAGATTCTTGCTTCCTCAATTCCAAATAAAAACAACGACAAAAACAGTCAACGATTCATGTCAGAGCACAATGTTATGCAGATACAAATTATTTGCCACAACCTTTGTTAGCTGTTTGCGTTTAACTAATTAAACTTCAGAAACATCCGTTTCTCACCCTTTCCATGTATTATTATTGTCATGATTAGACCTGAACGTTTGCATCTCATCAACTGACACAGCACGATTAAACAGTCAGGATTTTCAGAATGGATTTACGAATCTTGGTTACTTTGTGCACTCCGAAAACTAACGTTATTCAATAAGCACACATCGTACAGGATCACGTGTACACGCCAATCCAACTTAAGGACCAAATGACGCAACAAAAAACAGGTCACACCGTGACCTGAGAGCCGACGAAAACCGCAATCCGGACGAAAGGACAACCTCCTCCCGTCCCACCCTCACCTCCTCACACCGTTCAACGGCGAACCGAGTTGAACACAGGGAGAACAAGGGACAAAGCAGTCGGTAGAGAAGAACACTCTTATAAACGAACGGGTACAAGCAGAACACTACTACTTCACAAGCACTGACGATATCACCTTCGCTGATGATGAAACATTTGCGAACAAATTATCAAGCTGGGCGAACAGGCGAAATGGAATTCTGTTCACTCGAGCTAAGAGAACCGATTTTCAATATTTTGTCAGGAACTTTAAACGTGGCACGCAATATCTGTAGAAGGAGAAGGAAGAGAACGCTAGATTTATTCACCTTGGATATGGTTGTACAACTACGAAGGAGCAATTTTAATTCGGTTTCGTTTATTGTCATCTGCACTCCATTCAATGGATGTAACAATTAGGTTGTGTGACATAAAAGCTGTTTGTTACGCAATTCAAATCATTCTTGTCCCGAACGTGCGGAGTTTGAAAACCCCATTTGTCCCACTTCACTCACATGTTCTAGCATGTAGAAATAGTAACATCAAGGAGCAGTCATAAAAACCTTGAACGAATGTCACAATTCATGCGGAAAAAGACAGTTTCAATGATCAGGCAGCTGTTTTCTTTCACATTCCAAGTTTTGCAATTTCGCATGATCCGAGGTGTCAATCATTTAGGTGGCGCAGATTCTAGTTTGAGTTGGGTTTTGGAATGTACATCCAAGGGGACATACATTCATCACTGGTCTATTTCGGCGTCATAGGGAACCATCAATTCGTAACGTGACCACCTCCTGGCATTTGTTTGATCTTGTTAGATTCAACTGTACCATTTTCCTATTCTCCCACCTCCTAATCAAATGTGTTTTTCATCCGAAATTGTCGAGTATGCCCATCAGGTGAAAGAAAACATACTGGATTATTTTAATCAGCTAAATGAAGAAACCAAATACCAGAGGTAAACCTCATTTGGAATAAGGTTTTTTCTGACATGTGGAATATGTACCTTCCAATAAATATAGATTGACGTTTGGTGAACTACTTCCCACTGAGTTTAGCATTTCTTGTGCACTGACATTTTGAATACACCTGTGGTTAAATACATTGCAATAAAAAGAAACTTTTGTTATATGGCACAGTAACACGCTCGCCAAAAAAAAAAAACAAAGAAGATTTCAACTGAATTGAGGGAACGGTGAGAGCGAGCAATTACCATATTCATCATCAATACTTTCCTAGGGAAATGTGTAAATTACGAAATGGTAATTAGAGTCTGTGTGTGCGACACGTGACCGACGATCGTAAACGGGGCGAGGGAATTGAAGG